CAGTCCAGTTTGGACCCACTTTCATCTCTATTTCCAGCTATACACAACGGTTTAACCTGTAAAAAGAGAAAACACTATTTTTTTACAAGTTTCCGGTATATAACGAACAACAACTCTGTCAAATCGGAAAACCGCAAATTCCTAAAAAACTTAAGGGTTTTGATGGCATAATCCATTTTGAAATTTGCATTTGGCCTAATGCATGAATGCTTCTTCACGACCACTTTCACATTCAATGAGTGTGATGCCTGATGTCTTGAATTTTCCACTGAAGTCAGTTGTCACGATGTGAAAATCAATAATCATTTGACAAAACCTTCCCAAAAATAAGAATCAAAACGCATAGTGTGCACCAACAATGACCTTGTGCGAACTCTCCTTTTCCAAGCTCATTTGCCAACATGGGCCAAAACATAGATTATAAATACACATAAAAAATACACGAATTTCTTTTCTTTTTATTATATTCATAAATGTTAATAGTTTTCTTAAAAATAACATCTGTGGTTTCATAGCTACTTACATCCGGCCAATAAATTGCATACCTCTCAAAGCCACTTCACCACTACTTCCATATTCAGCTTAGCATAAAAAAAATGTTTCAAGTGGTTCTCAAGGAAAGTTAGGGTTTTGATCGACCCGACTTGTATTTGAATCCGGTATCACATTTATACCCCGCAGATTCTCATTCCCCGATTTGTGATTTCCTTCATTATGGGTGTTATTCAGTATTATCAAATCATTTAGAGACTTTGGATTATTTGGAATTTTGCACTTGAATCTGCTACCAACTAATGGTAAACTTTGTTATTTGGTCAAAAGTATTTATTGTTCATTTGAACCTTCGTTTGATCAAAAGACAATTCACACATTCAACATGTTTTTCTTGAGTGATTGTTTCGTCGACATTTCCTATACTCGGAGAAGTATATGCATATTCGAAATGACATTTAGGCTTGTAATATTTCTGATGCATTATATATATATATATATATATATATATATATATATATATATATATATATATATATATATATATATATATAATTGCATCTTTACAAATATTTAATTTCTGAGATATATTTTGTAATTTACATGTTTCCTTGTAATAACATAACCGTAAATACACTTAATTTACAATAATTACCCTTGATGTTCCACAATTATGCAGTCGGGTAGGAAGCCATCATGGCAATGCCACAAAGGCCTTCTTGCGCATCAACATCTCTTTGCATCATTATGTACCCCTCTTGACCCCAACTTGTTCCCCAAGAGTTCTTCACCAGCCAATATTTAGTTCCGTCAGCACTCGCTCCATAACCAACCGCAGTAACACCATGGTCTAGTTCAGTACCACATTCTCCTGTAAACACCCCGCTAGAGTAGAATTGGAAGTCAGACCCACTAGCATCAATGGCCACAGAAATAGGCTGACTAGCTACAGCTTTCAATAGTGCACTTCACTATTAGCAGGAACATCTTCATGACCCGTAATGGCTGCAGCATGATTAGATTCCTCGTTGCTGTTGCAGGTGCCATCGACTCCTTTGTACGGGTAGTTGCTCTCTGTAGTAAGACCTTTATTGTTTAAGATGAAATCAAAGGCGTCGTCCATAAGACCGCCCTCACATCCCTGATCCTGTCCACCGGTGTCACAGTCCACGAGCTCTTGTTCGGATAGAGAGACCAATTTACCTGTTTTCAGTTGGGTTATTCCTTCCATAGCCGCCACAGCTGAAAACGCCCAGCAACACCCTACAAACATATGATGTGATATCGAGTTTAAATATGGTCTTGTAAGAAAACATAACTTAATTAGTAATTAGACTACGTCTCAAGTTTGAAATTTCCGTAGTAGTTTTAGCTTACCACATTGGCCTTGGTCTTTAACAGGTGTTACTGCGCCTTTCTTTCTCCAGTCCATTGATGATGGAACTGCTGTCACATTTTCATACCTGAAAGCAGAGGTCGATGGGGAACATTCATGTGCCTTGAATCGGTTCCTTGTGCTCGTGAACTCTTCGTTTGTGAGATCTGCAAACTCATTAACTGCTAGTTTGTAAGCTTTGTTCATGACACTGTTGGATGACTCTATGTAACGAACATTCTCTTGAAAAATCTTTGAACGTTGTTCTTTCTCATCAGCATCCTTGTACACGCGTCCATAATGAGCCATCCATTGTTCGTGGCTCTCATAGCTTGGAGCTTCAGGGAGCAACCTAGATGTAGTGTTTGAAAGCAAAGTCGCATAGAAAAAGATTAATACCAAAAAAGTTGGGTTGTCCGGTTTGTTGATGTCATAATTTTGGTAGATACAAGAGAAAATGGATGTGAATGATGATTTGGAATAATTTCTTTGCCCACAGGTCTACTTTATATAGAAACACGTGGTTTCATCATTGTTTGGGAAAAATATATATATATATATATATATATATATATATATATATATATATATATATATATATATATATATCACCGTTCGTGGAAGATATGACGTTCAATTGATATATATAATTAATATGAGGAAAACATACATGTTACGTTGTTTAGATTTATGATTGATGCCACTAATTTACTTGGATTTTTCCTTTGGACTATACTCATGTTGACTAAAATTGTTGTGTACTAATTTGTTTTCTTAACATAGGCATAGGTAGGTTATATAAAAGCTTACAGAACATAGTTTGGCCATTATTTTGGAGTGTAGTTGTGTCATTTATGAAAGAAATTCTTTAAAGGTCTGATACGTAAAACACATTTTTTTATTTCTAACATTTTTTTTATTACTCGCTTTTAGATGTTCAAAACGCAGATATGCATGCCTTTATTCTATTTATCTCCATCTTGGTTTATGTTAACTTTACCGACACATTCAATGCATTTGAAGAATACAAGGCAGTAAAGTAATTTGATTGGTTGTACAAAATATCAATCTCATCACAACATACATTGCAATTACAAGAAGCTTGTTATATGTAAGATATCTTGATCCCTCAACCAGACTTGCAGTATCCCCAAAACGATCAAGAAAAATAATATTTCAAGAGGGATTATGCCATAAAACCCATAAGTTTTTCAGAAATTTACAGTTTTACCATTCGACAGAATTTTTGTTCGTTTATACCATAAAGTTGTAAAAAAAATTGGTTTTGCCCTATTTACAGGAAACTTTTTTTGCCAGATGGACGATGTGTTGGAAGGACTCGGTGGCGTGTCACGCTTTTTATGTTTCATATCTCGTAAACATAGTATATAATGTATATTACTGAAACAATTTAAAATACAATAACTGTATATATATTGTGTATACATTTTAAATTACGTATTTTTTGTATCTCGCAAAAATAGTTATTATTATTATTATTATTATTATTATTATTATTATTATTATTATTATTATTATTATTATTGTTATTAGTATTATAATTAATATTATTGTTAATATTTTATTTTTTAAAATACATAAATACATTTTAAAATTTGATTTTAAAGGTATAAATATATTTATATATTTAAAAAATATGTTATTAAAGGTTAAAATATAATTTAAAATGTATATATACACTTACAAAAATAATAATAATAATAATAATAATAATAATAATAATAATTATTATTATTATTATTATTATTATTATTATTATTATTAAAACTATTATTACTTTATTATAAATTGTTTCAATAATAAACAATATATATCAATTTTTCGAGTTATAAAACCCAAAAGGAGATGCAGCTGAGTTGTTTGTTTATTGCTTTATGAGTTGGAGGTGGTGGGTTCGAATCCCTCAATTTGCTTTATCTGGGTTTCAGTATTCTGGGTTTGGGTCCATCGGGTCCGGGTAAACCGGGTCTAAAAACCGGAACCACTTTTACGGTCGTAACCGGTTTTTGTGAATCGTTTAAAAGATTCATATTTTATTCGTTTCAACTCCGATTGATATGCGGTTTATTCTAAATTCTAGTTTAGAGTTTGTACATAATTTTAGACTATAAATTTGTCATTTTTAGTTTTATATTCATTGGCTTACAGTCCCCCAAAGTCGAGATATCAAAGCTGAACGTTTTTAGTTTTTCAGTTTTTTTGTATTATCTGAAAGTTTTAAAACATGCATGTCTTATTCTTTTGAAATCGAATTGACATGTGGTTTTTTCCAACTTAGAGTTTAGCGTTTTTGCATCAGTTAAAACTATAATTTTGTCATTTTTTGTTTAATATTCAATGATTTGCAGTCCCCCGAAGTCGGGATCTCAAAACTGAAAATTAGCTATATGTTTATGTACTTTGTATTATGTAAAAATGTTAACACATGCATATCTCATTCGTTTAAAGTCAGATTGACATGCTGTTTTTTTCCATACTGTAGTTTATAGTTTGTAAATGATTTTAGACTATAATTTTGTCAATTTTGGTTTTATATTCAATGAGTTACAGTCCTACAAAATCGGGATATCAATATGATGATTTTCAATGTTAAAACCACTAAGTAGTAAACAATTAGTAAAAAATTCTGGTTTTTCTGGTTCTAAACCCACTTTATCCGGTTCGAGCCTACCCACTTTTATGTTTTCCGGTTTTCCGATTCTAGACCCACTTTACCCGGTACCGTACCCGAAACCGAACCGGAACCGGGTCCTATATACAGGTCCGGTTTATGGTTCTACAAAGTCTCATTAACCGGTTCTTGGTTTTCCGGGTCTAGGTCCATCTAGTCCAATTTGGACCCACTTTCATCTCTATTTCCAGCTATACACGTTACCGGTTTAACCTATAAAAAGAGAAAAAACAATTTTTTTTTACAAGTTTCCGGTATATAACGAACAACAACTCTGTCAAATGGTAAAACCGCAAATTCCTGAAAAACTTAAGGGTTTTGATGACATAATCCCTATTGTGAAATTTTCATTTGGCCCTAATGCATGAATGCTTCTTCACGACCACTTTTCACAATCAATGAGTGATGCCCGATGTTTGAATTTTCAACTGAAGTCAGTTGTCACGACGTGAGAAACCAATAATCATTTGACAAAACCTTCCCAAAAATAAGAATCAAAACGCATAGTGTGCACCAACAATGACCTTGTGCGAACTCTCCTTTTCCAAGCTCATTTGCCAACATGGGCCAAAACATAGATTATAAATACACATAACATAAATACACGAAATTTCTTTTCTTTTTATTATAAATTCATAAATGTTAATAGTTTTCTTAAAAATAACATCTGTGGTTTCATAGCTACTTACATCCGGCCAATAAATTGCATACCTCTCAAAGCCACTTCACCACTACTTCCATATTCAGCTTAGCATCAAAAAAAATGTTTCATGTGGTTCTTAAGGAAAGTTAGTGCTTTGATCGACACGACTTGTATTTGATTCCGGTATCACATTTATACGGCCCGCGGATTCTCATTCACCGATTTGTGATTTCCTTAATTATGGGTGTTATTCAGTATTATAAATCATTTAGAGACTTTGGATTATTTGGAATTTTGCACTTGAATCTGCTACCAACTAATGGTAAACTTTGTTATTTGGTCAAAAGTATTTATTGTTCTTTCGAACCTTCGTTTGATCAAAAAACAATTCACACATTTCAACATGTTTTTCTTGAGTGATTGTTTCGTTCAACAATTTCCTATACTCGGAGAAGTATATGCATATTCGAAATGACATTTAGGCTTGTAATATTTCTGATGCATATATATATATATATATATATATATATATATATATATATATATATATATATATAATTGCATCTTTACAAATATTTAATTTCTGAGACATATTTTGTAATTTACACGTTTCCTTGTAATAACATAACCCTAAATACACTTAATTTACAATAATTACCCTTGATGTTCCACAATTATGCAGTCGGGTAGGAAGCCATCATGGCAATGCCACAAAGGCCTTCTTGCGCATCAACATCTCTTTGCATCATTATGTACCCCTCTTGACCCCAACTTGTTCCCCAAGAGTTCTTCACCAGCCAATATTTAGTTCCGTCAGCACTCGCTCCATAACCAACCGCAGTAACACCATGGTCTAGTTCAGTACCACATTCTCCTGTAAACACCCCGCTAGAGTAGAATTGGAAGTCAGACCCACTAGCATCAATGGCCACAGAAATAGGCTGACTAGCTACAGCTTTCAATAGTGCACTTTCACTATTAGCAGGAACATCTTCATGACCCGTAATGGATGCAGCATGGTTAGATTCCTCATTGCTGTTGCAGGTGCCATCGACTCCTTTGTACGGGTAGTTGCTCTCTGTAGTAAGACCTTTATTGTTTAAGATGAAATCAAAGGCGTCGTCCATAAGACCGCCCTCACATCCTGATCCTGTCCACCGGTGTCAGTCCACGAGCTCTTGTTCGGATAGAGAGACCAATTTACCTGTTTTCAGTTGGGTTATTCCTTCCATAGCCGCCACAGCTGAAAACGCCCAGCAACACCCTACAAACATATATGATGTGATATCGAGTTTAAATATGGTCTTGTAAGAAACCATAACTTCATTAGTAATTAGACAACGTCTCAAGTTTGAAATTTCAGTAGTAGTTTTAGCTTACCACATTGGCCTTGGTCTTTAACAGGTGTTACTGCGCCTTTCTTTCTCAAGTCCATTGATGATGGAACCGTTGTCACATTTTCATATCTGAAAGCAGAGGTCGATGGGGAACATTCATGTGCCTTGAATCGGTTCCTTGTGCTCGTGAACTCTTCGTTTGTGAGGTCTGCAAACTCATTAACTGCTAGTTTGTAAGCTTTGTTCATGACACTGTTGGATGACTCTATGTAACGAACATTCTCTTGAAAAATCTTTGAACGTTGTTCTTTCTCATTAGCATCCTTGTACACGCGTCCATAATGAGCCATCCGTTGTTCGTGGCTCTTATAGCTTGGAGCTTCATGGAGCAACCTAGATGTAGTGTGTGAAAGCAAAGTAGCATAGAAAAAGATTAATACCAAAAAAGTCTGGGTTGTCCGGTTTGTTGATGTCATAATTTTGGTAGATACAAGAGAAAATGGATGTGAATGATGATTTGGAATAATTTCTTTGCCTACAGGTCTACTTTATATAGAAACACGTGGTTTCGTCATTGTTTGGGAAACATATATATATATATATATATATATATATATATATATATATATTTATATATATATATATATATATATATATATCACCGTTCGTGGAAGATATGACGTTCAATTGATATATATTAATTAATATGAGGAAAACATACATGTTACGTTGTTTAGATTTATGATTGATGCCACTAATTTACTTGGATTTTTCCTTTGGACTATACTCATGTTGACTAAAATTGTTGTGTACTAATTTGTTTTCTTAACATAGGCATAGGTAGGCTATATAAAAGCTTACAGAACATAGTTTGGCCATTATTTTGGAGTGTGGTTGTGTCATTTATGAAAGAAATTCTTTAAAGGTCTGATACGTAAAACACATTTTTTTATTTCTAACATTTTTTTATTACTCGCTTTTAGATGATCAAAACGCAGATATGCATGCCTTTATTCTATTTATCTCCATCTTGGTTTATGTTAACTTTACCGACACATTCAATGCATTTGAAGAATACAAGGCACTAAAGTAATTTGATTGGTTGTACAAAATATCAATCTCATCACAACATACATTGCAATTACAAGAAGCTTGTTATATGTAAGATATCTTGATCCCTCAACCAGACTTGCAGTATCCCCAAAACGATCAAGAAAAATAATATTTCAAGAGGGATTATGCCATAAAACCCATAAGTTTTTCAGAAATTTACAGTTTTACCATTCGACAGAATTTTTGTTCGTTTATACCATAAAGATGTAAAAAAAAATTGGGTTTGCCCTTTTTACAGGTAACTTTTATTGCCAGATGGACGATGTGTTGGAAGGACTCGGTGGCGTGTCACGCTTTTTATGTTTCATATCTCGAAAACATAGTATATAGTGTATATTACTGAAACAATTTAAAATACAATAACTGTATATATATTGTGTATACATTTTAAATTACGTATTTTTTGTATCTCGCAAAAATAGTAATTATTGTTATTATTATTATTATTATTATTATTATTATTATTATTATTATTATTAAAACTATTATTACTTTATTATAAATTGTTTCAATAATAAACAATATATATCAATTTTTCGAGTTATAAAACCCAAAAGGAGATGCAGCTGAGTTGTTTGTTTATTGCTTTATGAGTTGGAGGTGGTGGGTTCGAATCCCTCAATTTGCTTTATCTTGGTTTCAGTATTCCGGGTTTGGGTCCATCGGGTCCGGGTAAACCGGGTCTAAAAACCGGAACCACTTTTCCGGTTGTAACCGGTTTTTGTGAATCGTTTAAAAGATGCATATTTTATTCGTTTCAACTCCGATTGATATGCGGTTTATTCTAAATTCTAGTTTAGAGTTTGTACATAATTTTAGACTATAAATTTGTCATTTTTAGTTTTATATTCATTGGCTTACAGTCCCCCAAAGTCGAGATATCAAAGCTGAACGTTTTTAGTTTTTCAGTTTTTTTGTATTATCTGAAAGTTTTAAAACATGCATGTCTTATTCTTTTGAAATCGAATTGACATGTGGTTTTTTCGAACTTAGAGTTTAGCGTTTTTGCATTAGTTAAAACTATAATTTTGTCATTTTTTGTTTAATATTCAATGATTTGCAGTCCCCCGAACTCGGGATCTCAAAACAGAAAATTAGCTATATGTTTATATACTTTGTATTATGTAAAAATGTTAACACATGCATATCTCATTCGTTTAAAGTCAGATTGACATGCTGTTTTTTCATACTGTAGTTTATAGTTTGTAAATGATTTTAGACTATAATTTTGTAAATTTTGATTTTATATTCAATGAGTTACAGTCCCACAAAATCGGGATATCAATATGATGATTTTCAATGTTAAAACCACTAAGTAGTAAACAATTAGTAAAAAATTCTGGTTTTTCTGGTTCTAAACCCACTTTATCCGGTTCGAGCCTACCCACTTTTATATTTTCCGGTTTTCTGATTCTAGACCCACTTAACCCGGTACCGTACCCGAAACCGAACGGGAACCGGGTCCTATATACAGGTCCGGTTTATGGTTCTAAAAAGTCTCATTAACCGGTTCTTGGTTTTCCGGGTCTAGGTCCACCCAGTCCAGTTTGGACCCACTTTCATCTCTATTTCAAGCTATACACGTTACCGGTTTAAACTATGAAAAGAGAGAAAACAATTTTTTTTACAAGTTTCCGGTATATAACGAACAACAACTCTGTCAAATGGTAAAACCGCAAATTCCTGAAAAACTTAAGGGTTTTGATGACATAATCCCTATTTTGAAATTTTCATTTGGCCCTAATGCATGAATGCTTCTTCACGGCCACTTTTCACAATCAATGAGTGATGCCCGATGTTTGAATTTTCAACTGAAGTCAGTTGTCACGACGTGAAAAACCAATAATCATTTGACAAAACCTTCCCAAAAATAAGAATCAAAACGCATAGTGTGCACCAACAATGACCTTGTGGAAACTCTCCTTTTCCAAGCTCATTTGCCAACATGGGCCAAAACATAGATTATTAATACACATAACATAAATACACGAAATTTCTTTTCTTTTTATTATAAATTCATAAATGTTAATAGTGTTCTTAAAAATAACATTTGTGGTTTCATAGCTACTTACATCCGGCCAATAAATTGCATACCTCTCAAAGCCACTTCACCACTACTTCCATATTCAGCTTAGCATCAAAAAAAATGTTTCAAGTGGTTCTCAAGGAAAGTTAGTGTTTTGATCGACATGACTTGTATTTGAATCCGGTATCACATTTATACGGCCCACAGATTCTCATTCCCCGATTTGTGATTTCCTTCATTGTGGGTGTTATTTAGTATTATCAAATCATTTAGAGACTTTGGATTATTTGGAATTTTGCACTTGAATCTGCTAACAACTAATGGTAAACTTTGTTATTTGGTCAAAAGTATTTATTGTTCATTTGAACCTTCCTTTGATCAAAAGACAATTCGCACATCTCAACATGTTTTTCTTGAGTGATTGTTCCGTTCGACATTTCCTATACTCGGAGAAGTATATGCATATTCGAAATGACATTTAGGCTTGTAATATTTCTGATGCATATATATATATATATATATATATATATATATATATATATATATATATATAATTGCATCTTTACAAATATTTAATTTCTGAGATATATTTTGTAATTTACATGTTTCCTTGTAATAACATAACCGTAAATACACTTAATTTACAATAAGTACCCTTGATGTTCCACAATTATGCAGTCGGGTAGGAAGCCATCATGGCAATGCCACAAAGGCCTTCTTGCGCATCAACATCTCTTTGCATCATTATGTACCCCTCTTGACCCCAACTTGTTCCCCAAGAGTTCTTCACCAGCCAATATTTAGTTCCGTCAGCACTCGCTCCATAACCAACCGCAGTAACACCATGGTCTAGTTCAGTACCACATTCTCCTGTAAACACCCCGCTAGAGTAGAATTGGAAGTCAGACCCACTAGCATCAATGGCCACAGAAATAGGCTGACTAGCTACAGCTTTCAATAGTGCACTTTCACTATTAGCAGGAACATCTTCATGACCCGTAATGGCTGCAGCATGGTTAGATTCCTCGTTGCTGTTGCATGTGCCATCGACTCCTTTGTACGGGTAGTTGCTCTCTGTAGTAAGACCTTTATTGTTTAAGATGAAATCAAAGGCGTCGTCCATAAGACCGCCCTCACATCCCTGATCCTGTCCACCGGTGTCACAGTCCACGAGCTCTTGTTCGGATAGAGAGACCAATTTACCTGTTTTCAGTTGGGTTATTCCTTCCATAGCCGCCACAGCTGAAAACGCCCAGCAACACCCTACAAACATATATGATATGATATAGAGTTTAAATATGGTCTTGTAAGAAAACATAACTTAATTAGTAATTAGACTACGTCTCAAGTTTGAAATTTTCGTAGTAGTTTTAGCTTACCACATTGGCCTTGGTCTTTAACAGGTGTTACTGCGCCTTTCTTTCTCCAGTCCATTGATGATGGAACTGCTGTCACATTTTCATACCTGAAAGCAGAGGTCGATGGGGAACATTCATGTGCCTTGAATCGGTTCCTTGTGCTCGTGAACTCTTCGTTTGTGAGGTCTGCAAACTCATTAACTGCTAGTTTGTAAGCTTTGTTCATGGCACTGTTGGATGACTCTATGTAACGAACATTCTCTTGAAAAATCTTTGAACGTTGTTCTTTCTCATCAACATCCTTGTACACGCGTCCATAATGAGCCATCCATTGTTCGTGGCCCTCATAGCTTGGAGCTTCAGGGAGCAATCTAGATGTAGTGTGTGAAAGCAAAGTAGCGTAGAAAAAGATTAATACCAAAAAAGTATGGGTTGTCCGGTTTATTGATGTCATAATTTTGGTAGATACAAGAGAAAATGGATGTGAATGATGATTTGGAATAATTTCTTTGCCCACAGGTCTACTTTATATAGAAACACATTGTTTCATCATTGTTTGGGAAACTATATATATATATATATATATATATATATATATATATATATATATATATATATCACCGTTCGTGGAAGATATGATGTTCAATTGATATATATTAATTAATATGAGGAAAACATACATGTTACGTTGTTTAGATTTATGATTGATGCCACTAATTTACTTGGATTTTTCCTTTGGACTATACTCATGTTGACTAAAATTGTTGTGTACTAATTTGTTTTCTTAACATAGGCATAGGTAGGCTATATAAAAGCTTACAGAACATAGTTTGGCCGTTATTTTGGAGTGTAG